AGCCCCATATCAGAGAGCAAAAGAGGTAATCTGCCCTTTGATCTGCTATGTAAAATGTGCGCAAAGTACTTTGAGCAGTCAGTATTAGGGAGGAATGTGAAGACTTTTAGTATTAAAAATATATACAGCTTAACATCCTGACAACTCCCCCCCTTTAATGGTAGATAAACACACATCGACATATTAAGGTAATATTTTTGCTTGTCTCTCAAATCAGCAGATTAAAGAACATGTTGCATTGCTTAAATTATGTTTTAAAAAAAGGATTATAGTAGAAAGTTTAATCCAAAAACAGAATTTCAACAGAATAAAGAACATTGACATTGATGTTATTAAGATTCCAACAGTTACTGATGCAAAAATATGCACTGGCAATGTCAATGGCTTTTCCAAAGTAGTGCCAATGTTTTAGCTTTTTTTTTTTTTAGAGCCAGCATTCTGCCTGACATTTAGGAAAAAGTTTGTGTTATTTATGCTGCCTGATCCTTACAAGTTTCTTTCTTTCTTTCTTTCTTTCTTTCTTTCTTTCTTTCTTTCTTTCTTTCTTTCTTTCTTTCTTTCTTTCTTTCTTTCTTTCTTTCTTTCATGCTTAATATTCACAATGACACTGACAGTTAAGAGAATATAGCTTACGACAAAACAAAAGAGACATACCGGTAGTTCATCGGGGCGATATGTTATATTTAACTGCTCTAATAAAATAAGAGAAATAACACTTTATGTTCCTTCCACCAAGGAAGCTGTTCTTTCTCTTCTTTGTATGAAATCGTAAAATCAGAATGCTTAATTATTATAAAAAGACAACCTGTTAAATTATGCATTTTCTTCTAAATCTGTAGCTGAGGGATAACATAAGCTCCACTGTGATCAAAAGCATTAAATCCCTTACTATTAAGACATATGGAAAATGAAATGTAAGAGTAAAAAAGATTTGGTTGATTAATCGTGGAGCACTAATTCGGGCTCTAAATTGCTCAGTTAAATACTTTTAGAAAACTCTCTTGGATTCAGTTCCAAAATTTGCTTTATTTTTGTGGATATGTGACCATCTATCACAGAGATCTATACTTCCACCGTCTTCCTCTCAGCTCAGCAGTGCACAGATAAACTTTCAGGTTATAAACTTCTCGCCTCAGTTGTACATCAGCTGAAATGCATTAATGCTCTGCAGAGATGCAAAGGGGGAAGTCTGTTGGGGTTTATTTCTGTTTGTTACTAGCTGGTGATATGCGTGCAGCTTTCCTGCCTGTAGCTTCATTCTTATTCCACCCACCATCATATGCCAGAGATTTGAACAAGCTGGGTGTGTAGGGTGGAGCAGGAAGAGATAAGAATTGGAAGGAGAGTGAGAGTTTGAGGGCATGGGGTGAAAAACAAAAGAGATCGGAATAGGAAGAGAGAGAAAGAGGAAGCAAGGTCTGCCCTTGAGCTTGTTTGGCACTTTGTTTAACTTTCACATGCTTCTCCCTTTTCTACCCGCACTAATTTCATCAACAACAAAAAAGTTCTGAACCAGGTGGCAGTTCTGTGCTTCACATCAGGGCACTCTCTTGATATGTTGAGAGCGCTGTGTTTTTAAAAACAAATGAGGACAAAATGAAATAATATTGGATCGGGCCAAATATCATTAAACATTTGGCTCTGCTGTGTCTACAGTAGCTGTGACAATGATTAAACGGTATCCTCCAAACCATCAAAGCAAACATTATGAATAAGTCATTTAAACAATTCAACATCATCATGGAAAGCTGCCAACATCTGTACTGTTTATTATCCGTGCAGTAGTTTGCAATGTGCAACCATCAAAAAGTTTTTTAAATCACAGTTTTAAATCAGTTTATGTTTTTCTTTATTTAAGAGGAAGTATGTGAAATAGAGCTTGATAAAGTTTGTAATTTTCTTAATTCCTGATTTACTATCATATTTAATATAAGATAATAACTGCAGGTAAAATATTTCAGCCATTTCAGCCTGGATAAATATACCAACTGGATAGTAAATCAGCCTCCTCAGTTCTAAAGCAAGCTAGGTTAACATAAAATTACAATTTCAAAAAAATTCATGGCATAATGCCCTGCTCCTCGGTCACCCAAGAAACGTCAAACTTTTGATTTATTGTCAAGAGGAAACCTTCAATTCAAAGTCTCTCAAACTGTTTTATTTTTTATTCGTATTAAGAAAAACACCAAAGCTGTTCATGTTTACCACTGACTTTAAAAGGTTAATAACAAGGAGAGCTGTAGAGAGCTAAACAATAAGCCATTGTAGTGATAAGTAAGTAAATATTGTGAGCTTGCCTATGAAGCTGCTATAACTGCCAACTTAATCGTTTAATTCTTGGAAAAAAAGAACAAAATCCTAATAAAAATAGTAGCCACCTTAAATGCTTACGTTACTCACGATGGCCTTACAGTCGGAACAGCCCCTCTTTTAAGTAAGTAAGTAAGTAAGTAAACGTTATTTGTATAGCACTTTTCACAGACGAAGTCACAAAGTGCTTCACATGATAACATAAAAACAACACAAGTAAAAACAGATAAAATGCAATAAAAGCTAAAATAAATAAGTGAATAAAACAGTAAGCTATGTGCTTTGGAAGGCTAGTGAAAACAGGTGTGTTTTTAGCTGCTTTTTAAAGATATCCACCGAGTCCAGAGAGCGCAGGGACAGGGGGAGTTCATTCCAGAGACGGGGTGCCACCGCTTTAAAGGACCGGTCTCCTCGGGTTTTAAAACGGGTCCGAGGAACCATAAGCAGGTTTTGACCTGAAGACCTTAGGCTACAGACCGATGTATACGGCTGGATCAGACCTGTCATGTAGCCAGGCGCCCGTCCATGAAGGGCCCTGAAGGTGAGGACCAGGATTTAAAAATGTATCCTGGAAGCAACAGGAAGCCAATGTAGGTAATACAGTACATTGGCTTTACTTTTCACTAAAAGAAGTTTAGCAAATCCTGCTTTGAACTGTCCAAGATTTCGAAAGCTGTCTTCTGTAAAATGCTTAGAACAAATGAACAGCTGAGCATCAAACTTTGCAGGGATCTTCTGATAGACAAAAATAATCCATGCCTCTTGAGTCTTCGGATCCTTGGAAAGAGTGTAAAAATGTTCCCCTTTACGCCCGTGGTTCTGGTTAATTTTCAATAGAAAAACTGCCCGTTTTGTAATTCTTGTAGAAGTAAACCCCAACTGTAGGCTAAACAGCTAATCTAGTGTCTTACATCTACCTATATTCATGTTCTTGGGCCAGTGAACCGGTGCGCTGGTCTGTATGTCAATTTCGAGGCTGACAAAAGTACAGGCCAGAACCACATAAGGCAAAATCCCCATATTGACGTCAACTCGGTGCTTCGTTTGAAGCTACCCGCTTTATGGTGGAAATTTAGAATTGTGAGATTTGCAGAGAAAGGAGGTGTTGATGGGGTTTAAACTTCTGTGTACGTCCATTTCATCCACTGAACTATCGTTATTCATCGATGACAAGGTAAACTTGGTTTTGACCTCCTTAAAGGTTTGTATTTAATGTATAATTCTCCTCATTTAACATGCTGTGTAGAATTATGGGTATTAACTTACAGAAATATATTAGAAAAGATTGTGTTGCAGCAAAAAATTGCCATAGGTTTTATAAATAAAGTAGGTTTTTGTGACCATACTGTCCTCATCTACTATGTATAAATTCAAATATAATGGCATTTAAAGCGCTTGTATATTATAAAATAATGAAATGAATGTACAAATTAACAATTAATGTACAAATATAATTTTGGAGATAAAACTAAATTCACCTTACAAAAAGGAAATCAAAATAAATGTATTTCTATTGCTAGAGTCAGATTGGAGAAAACTGCTTATTCAGAGTTAAAGTTATTTACATCCTTCCTTAGTGTCAAAAAAGCTGTGTGTCACTGTTATATCATTGTAAGTATATTTTCTGATATCATTACTGAAAAGTTTCTTATATTTATTTATTTTTTTGTAAGAGGGCAATAATTTAGATATCCATGTTTGCCCTGCATTTAGCTCCATCCATAATCTATCAGCTCTTACTAGTTTCCCTGTCTGTGAGGAAGAAGAGCATCCCTGCAGAATGATGCTGCTAAACTTCATCCTGGGGATGTTGTGTTCAGGGTAAAGGGTAGATCTAGTTTCCTGCAACACATAGCATTTTATATGTACGCTGAAATTTTTGTTTTAAACTGCTCTAACTAAAACACCCTCTCCCAAAGTTTTTTTTTCTCTTTCACCAGTTATCCAGGTAACAGAGTCTCCCATTTGATCTGAGGATCTATGCAACTCCTCATGAGCATGAAACGTCTGGCTGCTCCTCAGCTGGATTCCCACTTTGTACGTCCTGTTAGTGCAGATGGGCTAACATGCATTCACAGGTCTGCGGCTGTGGAATATTCCTTCTATTTTAGAACGGCAGATTTAAACCATTGCTACATGAGATGTTTAATGCTGTCAATGTAATTTTATACCTTTCCAAAAGTTCTCATTCATTCTTCTGGAATATCTTTTAGTCTATATGATGTTTTTAATTTGCATTTATGTTCTCTAATACAAACCTCCAAACTGCACACTAAACAGTTAACATTCTTAAGAGTTTATTTTTCACACAGGTGGAATGTTTTTGGGGGAATCAATTAAAGGGACTTAATGCATAACTACACCATACAGTACTTTTCATTTTTATTGCAAAATATCCCCATATATTTTGCTTCCACTTCATAGATCATGTGCTACAGTACTTTGTATCAGTTTTTCACTGAAAAACTGTAGGAAACTATAGTAACCTTAATGGTTGTAAAAGTAGGGAATACTTTTTCAAGATGCTTTGGATAATATCTATCATTCTCCCCTTTTTAGATTAACAACAGTATTAAGAAAGAGTAAATCATATTAAAAGAGCAGTTGGTGTATTTCCTTCAGCAGATGGATAATCATTTCAGTTTCAGTCCTTATTCATTTACTGAGGAACAGACAGTATCTCTACTCACAACATAGTAGCCATCAGGGACTTTGTTGAGAGAACTAAGTACTCCAACTGCAGAGATGGGGTCCATTGGCAGCTTGTTGCTCTCTTCAGACATTATGGCGATCTGTTAGAAAGGCAGATGAGCGGCTTAATATATTTCTGCATGCAACTGTGAAAATATACAATATTATTTCCCTTTTTTTAAAATACAAAACAACTAGAATGTAATAATAAATAGAATAGTAGTAGCACAAAATTTGAAAGAAAATGAGTATTACTTTGTTTACAGTGCTGACCTGCAGGATGGAAGGGGTCTTTCTAAGTCTAAATGGCTACATTATTGACTTCTTGATGAGGCCTATTAGGCTCCAGAAGAAAAAGTGGCCGCCTAATCTAGGATCAAATGACAAGTGGGACGAGTGACAAAACAGCATTCGGTCTGACTTCACCAAATCACAGATTAGGGGGGAGTGATCACATATTTTCAAGGAAGTCCCAATCAATTGCTATCTATTTCTGTCTAAGGGAATTTTTGCCTAATGGATATGCGAGCCTTTTTACTGGGTAAGTGGCTTTGCAAAGGTTCTCTTATGCAGTTTTATTAGATTAGGTCTAAAGCATTCTTGCACTAACTGACAAAGTTGCAGCATTCAATCTTTATATTTACAAAATCCATTGCAATTAAGCTGATCAAATTAGAGGATTTACTCCAGAAACATGCTGTCTCGTTAACAAATGCTAGATAGCTGTACTTATTCAAATGAAACCGAATGGTCATTTAGCCAATGGAATGAAAGATATCTTTGTGAGTTTAATTTGTTCAAATTAAACTTTTTTTCTTCCAAACCCAAATAAGAGCTCATAGACTGAAAAAAAAAAAAGTTAAAGAAAAAAAACAACCTTTAAACGTAATCCTCTGTCTTCAGGAGATCGAAGATAGTGATGTTATTTAAGGATAAAATAACAAACAAAAAAAACATAGAAAGTCACTGTTTCATTACACTTTATAGAATTACAACAATGTGACCTTTCAGCTACAGTTTTGTTTAGCCAATTTTAAGCGGGCTGAAGCCTCCAAAGCTCTAGCAAAATAGGTGAGAACAAAATGCAGACATTCATTTAAAGAAGAGAGAAGGAAAACTTTATATCTGTTTACATCAAAACTAATTATCATTCAGTCAAATTAATTGTGCAATTATTTGATGAATATGATCATTCTGTTTGTTTTCAGGTAAAATCCTGGGATGAGGGTAGACTTTCGTTTCATCATAACTTTATTCACTGCAACCTTTTTTAATTTTTAGTACAAACTCAACATGTTTTCATCTAAATAGTAAGCAGCTCATAACTGTTTAAGGCAAAACAGATGTGAATAGATGGAACCCTTTAAATGATCTATACCTTATAATAAATTAACTTCTGAAGCCTATCTGACATGGGACTGTTTAACTAGTCGATCTATATCGTAATCTATAGCACTGCGTGGTATGATATGCATATATATATATAT